TTGTAAGACGTGGAGTAAGGGATTGGGATTTATCTCACTTCCCGGACTGCGCCATGTTTCCCCGAAGCGTTGTAAGACGTGGAATAAGGGATTGGGATTTATCTCACTTCCCGGACTACGCCATGTTGCAATTTGGAACTTATCGTACTTCTTTCAAATGTATCTGGAGTGACCGTGAAGGTGAGAGTGAGTTTACCAAAAACCTTCTAGGTGAGGGTTTTGAAATTGTTCACACAAAATGATTTGAATGGCAAAATGACAAAATGGCTTTGAAAACGTAACGGTCTACCACGTAAAATATATAAAGCAATACCTCAATACATCAAATTTGTCATTTGTTTTCCTACATCATCTAATAATGTTGATGATAATGTAGCTAATAGATCAGGGCTTTCATCAACAATTGCCAAAATTTCATCAAGAAATAAACCAACTGTCATATCAATATTCATCAATTGTGTTTCAAGATCATTGACTGTTTTTCTACTATTTGTAAGGTGCACGTAATTCAAAGGATGAGCAGTATTTTTTTTTCTCGACGAATCATACATGGTTGAATAGAGCTCGTCGAGCTGAGGCGGAATATATATGTCTTGACCTTTGAAACTGGATCTGGAAGGCGAAAAGTTTGAAAAACTGAAAATTTTATTTTAGCTCAAAAATTGACAATATTACAACAATACTGAGTTTTCGAACTTCCTTTATGATTTATAGCTTTTCAGTTTTTCTCTTCTTCTTCAGCATGAAAAACTGAATAAGAAAACGTGAATTCGATATTGTTCACATATAACGTGAACTGAAAATTTCCGGATCTAGTGAAGGTCGAGAAACTGGGTACTATTCCCACTGTCAACCTATCTAGTTTTTTTGATTAACTAACGAAGTTATATTCCATATGTCGTTCGAATCATTACACCATCAGGAAAAACGCTGAGCATCGCTTTTCTTCTAACTTTATTCCATGCTGAGAAAATTCATTTTTTCTAAATCAGAGGCGAAAAGGTCGTAATTCTGCTCGTAATTCTCAATTTTCTTCAGGAGAACTCAACTTTTATGCAATAAAAACATCATATTCGGAATCAGGGTCAAAAACTGAGGCGACTGATGTGTATATCTATCCTATCTGACTACTTTCATTTTTTTCGAATTTTCACGTTGA